GGAGGAGGAGGAGGAGGAGGAGAAGGGGGTGTTTTACAGTTCTACAACCATCTTTTCTGTCCCGTTTATCCGCCATACAGGCCAGCAGCAGCAGCTCCGCACTACTGTGAACTAACTTCCTGCATGTGGCTGTAGGTTAAACGGGGTTTCGGGGGCTGAGCGGCCGCCGCTGCTGTCCATGCGTGATCCTCTGCGCTCCCCTCCGTGGATGGTGCGGAATAATATCATCTGGAGAGGCCGAGGCCGACATTTTACCCCGGTCCGGAGGAGCCTTAACTCCGAGGGGACATCCGAGGACACGCGTTGAGGTAAAAGAAGCCCGTCTCACAGCTCTGCGCATTCGGGGCAAATAAATAAAGTTGAACGACTCAGAAGTGACGGATACATTTCTGAACCACGCACAGAGGGGAAAAAAACATGTGCGCTTTTAATGGTGATAGAAAAAAATGGCTCCTTTCACATGGATACAGTAGCATGACACACACTTGATTTGGGATATTTTTAATAATCAAACATGAATAGAAAGACCAGGCTGCTCACCGATGTCTGTTTTATTGAAGGAAACTGGTGCGTAATGACACTTTATGCAGCCTTCTCTCTACTTACAGGATACACCATTGCATTATATTTTCCATATTTTTGCGCACACGCAGGCGGGTACCGTTCCAGTGTTTTGTTTTGTTTAGCAGCCCAAACTTTGCACTTTCACGCCAATAGAGCTTCATTTTTTTTTTTACACCGACTAGAAGTTGCTTTGGCCTGCAGGCTAACTACCAGCAGCAGTGGGCAGCAGCACCTGCAGGTGGACAAACAGCAGCCAAAGTTGTTCTGTGATTTAGTCTTAACTTAACTCAAGTCCGAAGCGGTGTTGGTCAGAAAAAAAAAGAGAGAAAAAATAAAAAATCAAACAGCCTCTCCACCTGGATGCAGCTGGAGCCGTGAAACGCTGAAGCCGATCCACATGCTCAGAAATCGGCCGTATTAACAATTAATATTGGACATCCGGTGGCACTGCCAGCTGCGCCCCATTTTTATTGTTGTCTGTGCGCTGAAAGGATCCCTGTTGTCTCGGCTGGATACTCCGCGAAGCGAGGTGGCCGCTTTTTGTTTTTTGGAGGGGGGTAAGAATTTACGCGTTATTCTTTCCACCAAAAAAATTTTAAAAAGTGCAAATGCATGAGATGTGAATGTGCAGTGGGGGAACAGAGGCAGAGGGGCTGGATGTGGAGGAAGCGCGGCTCTTCGGCTCGCCGTGCCATGCGGGACACACTGCTGGCTGCCACCATGGCACCTTCCCTTCGTGCTCTGGCTCTGCTGTTGTTGTATCCAGCTGTGCGGACACCGTCATGCCCCATCAGCTCGCTTTGCGCCGATCGCTTCACTGCCTGATTGAAAGCTTTATTCGGAGGGGGGATATTGTGGACGCGCACTGGAGGGACAGGGAGCGAGGCGAGGGGCTGCGAACGGGGCCACTTTTGCTCTCCATCGTTACGGGAAACGGAGCTCCAAGGACACAGAGAGGCGGGGGCGCATCCAGGTCGTTTAGGGTGTTTGTTCATATTTTTTTTCTTCCTTCTTTGCAGTTATTCAAATGTTTTTATTTAATTAGTGCAGAAAGGGGAGGTTTCCCAGGCGAAACGGGGCTTTGTCCGCCGCCCAGATTTTTGGAGCTTTAATTTGGCAAATTGGCTTCCCAGACAGACTGACAGCCAGGCCGCCTCTCCTCCCTGCTCTCCCGCCTCCTCCTCGCTGTTTTCGGCCACACTCTCTGCCATCACAGCCTCTCCACGGGCTTCTGCTTCATTTACTTTTTTTTTTTTTTATTGTCAGTCCCGGTTCTCTTCTCTTCGTGCGTAACCTCCATCCATCCATAACAGTTCTGTCCGCTATCAGACTGGAGCTTTTTTTTTTTTTTTTTTTTTGAAGAGGCCTCCAGCTGCTAAAGGTTCATTGTCTGGTCAGACTGCTCATGCTCTACATTTGCCTCATGGTCTGCTGTCAGAATTTTGTGTTTGGCACATGTTTGGATTAGTAGGATTGTGTTTTATACTCGTACAACAATGTTATATTTTTAAAGTTTTTCCAGAAGAAAGTAGTAGAAACACTTTAACTTACTGTGTGGTTACTAGAGAGCTCCAAACGCATCACGATAAAGTGTTTAAACTCACTTTTATATACTTTTTACTTGTTACTAGGTCGATACAGGGGAAAAAATATGAACAGAGTTTTATCTTTTACCACAAACACACTGTATGGATACTTTGATTATTCAATTATGTCATCAACAGCAAATAGTCGGCAACTATTTTGATAACTGATGAATTATTTTTAGGCTGAAAATTTCCTGATTTCACCTGCTTCTTATTTGTGAGGACTTGCAGCAAGTGATTGTAAATTGACTCCAATACTGTTCATTTGACAAAACAAGCACTTAAAACTTCATTTAGGAATTTAGGGAAATGCAAATGGAATTTTTAGCTACTTTTGTCAAACAGTTATTGCAATTAATGGCGGACAAATCAACAGAAATGTATTTAGCAGCCACAGATCTTGCAGTGTTTTGATGGGGAGCGTATGGCACGGTGCAGATCCCTTTGTCCTGTGTTGCATAACAAGCTGTTGCAAGGATAAAGGTTCATTTTGAGTTTGCATTTTTCTGTGCCCACACGGTGTTCGCAATAATTGCTCCGGTGCATTAATAACTCACTAATCGGGGAGTCATTTGTAAGTATAGATGTGGCTGGCAGGTGGAGGAGCCGTTTACAATTCCTCTGTGGCTGGGTGTATATAATGAGGAGAAATAACTTTTGTCAATCACAAACTGCGCCGTAATCTTACCACACTGCAAATGTTAGCGTATATGTTTGCCTTTTCCCTGTGTGTTGGTGTTGTTACATAAGCCGCAGTTGGCATCCACTTTGCTTGCAGAGTCTTGTTTACAAAGGACTAAGCGGATCGTTGGCTGAATGTAAAGCCGATGGTTATTGGTGGTTATTGACCTAGCGCGGTTTGAGATGTAGTACTTTCATTTTGTGTCCCCGTTGCCTCACCAAGGACTCGGCCCGTCAGCGTGTTTATGAGCACGGAGACCTTTGGACCGAGCCCTATGTTGAACCACCACACATGGAATGATTGCGAGGTTGTTATTGCAGAAAAGGCACGCCTGGCGCCCTATATCAGCTGCAGCGCGAACAAACACAAATAAGAATGTGTCGGGTGCATCGGTTTTGCTGTGCAAATTTACCTTGTAGATGCAGCAAATACCTAGAAGAGCACTGTGCTCACATAAGGCAGATAAAAGGGAAAATGTAAATAGGAGGTGAAAAGATTTGCATTTCTGTTACATTCACGTTTGCACTATGAGACGTGAAATAATCGGTGATAGCTGACACTCAGAATCGGCGTTTGAACAAGTTGTATCGCTGCTACAAGCGAGCGACTGATATAAAAACGTACATCGCTCTGACCCTCCTGCAAACCTCCTGCATCTCCAGTGCTCCTGCTTTCCACTGCTGTAATGTTATGATTAAAAAAAATGTGTATCCTTTGTACATTCGTAGCTTTGCTGGGATTATTTAATTCATTTCACCAGTTGGTTATGTACTTCAAAACTCTGCATGTGTCTGATAAGTGTTTGTGTACACAGTATGTTGGTAGCTGGCTTTGCTTTGTGTGCCAAATACCAGTTTTCCATGTGGCGTGCCAAGGCAGTGTCATAACCGCCCAGCCAATCCTCATTTCCTCATTCTTGTGTGCCTGAGGTCAATCCACAGAGAACATATTATGGCATTGTTCTCAAATCACTGAACCGGGGTCTGTGTGAGCTGCTTTTCCTTGGGTTTTCCACAGGTATTGAACAGTAGGTCCGCATTGTTCCCGCAGTAAGTGTGTGTGTGTGTGTGTGTGTGTGTGTGTGTGTGTGTGTGCGTGTGTGTGTTGGTGTTGCTCGGTGTTTCATCATGTTGCCATCTGAACGGAGCCCAGTCTGATCAGCGCCGCTTGCAACGTGGCTTCCTCTCTTCTCCTCTAAGGCAGAATTGGAGTTTTGGTTACACAAACATTAACTGATGCAGTGCAGCTCGGCACGCAAAAAACACCGTCATTGGTCGAGTTTAACCGTATTGGGCGGAGTTAGAGAAGCAGTTCTTTTAGAGGGCAAGTTAGCTAGGTTAGAGGATAAGGTCGGCTACATTCTGTAATGTTCTTACTGGCAACGACTCCTGTGAAAAGCCGACACTGAATCGATCCTAGAAGCACAGTGTGTGTATCCAACGCTGGTTATGTATTACTCCTCTGTGCCATGGAGCTCTATTATTGCACAAAAACAATTAAAAACACGTCACTGAGTCACACTGTTGCACTCGGCGACGTGTTTCTTCATTCTCACGAGCACACTCGACGGTATCGTTATGTCTCGGCGTCACATCCACTGTGTGTGTTACTCCACGGCTGAAAATAGTCCCCAACAAATATTTCCTCTTGTTTAAGTCACATTTGCTAAAAAAAAAAAAAAAACTACAGTGCCCATCTGTTTATTCCTGAGAATATCTAAACTGTATTTGAGGCAGAATTCTCTCCAGAACGAACACAAAGCTGCTTGTGGCCTTTTCATTGGATAGAGCAACAAATGCCAGTTGTCTCATTTCCAGCTGTGGTTCTAAGTAGAACGAAGGCCAAAGTATGAAGGGCAATGACTTCCTTTTTGTTTATTCATGACAGTGACACGATACAAGCTAACACGGCTACATTCAACCTTTCAGCTAAGCTAGCTTGCGCTGCACATTTTCCAGTTAGCTGGAGGAGAGCTAATGTTTAGCCTCGAGAATATTAGCGTCCCTCCTCCCTGCCTGCCTCACCCTTTGACTGGGCAGCGCTACGAAGCAGAAAAACTGGGTTACGGCCTCCTTCCACCGAGTTTTAGCCTGACTGGTGACTTTAGCTGTTTTAACGTCCTTGCTTAACTTTCTTAGCTCTTCTCCATTCCTTTATTTTTTAATCACGTATAGGTCGTGTGTTGTTTTCACAGATTAGCATCAAAGTTATCCTTCAATGCATCTTGTGATTCTAAGAACACGTAGCACTAAAATAACAAATGCTAGCTGGTAATTATCCACATTGAATCTACAAATGCCACATGAATGCTGTGCCACACAATGAAATCCAACCTTTATCTACTGCATGAAAGCTTTTGCATTTGCTATTTTAAATGCTCATTGTTGGCAGCGCTTTTCTCAGGAAGTGATATGTCCTACATTCTTGGCAGCAGCAGCAGCAGCAGCAGCAGCATGTTTTTTCATGTTGAATAAATGGATGTATTAATAGAAAAACTAGCCGGCTAATGTAAGCAACAATAGCCACGGTGGTTGAACAGACAATAAAGAGTTCTGAACTCATTAATGTTTCACTTCACACACGGGACGTATGAGGGAGAAAAAAAAAAACATGTCACAAAAAACAAACAAATAGAATTTCACAGATTACGTCTGTGTGAAATGTTTTCTGTCAAAGAAGTCTCAGAAGCACAACCGAGTTTGTTATTGAAATGACACGTTTAAAAACCTTGTACTTCATCACCTTCACTGCTGTCGTCTCTCTTCTTATTGTGCCGATCAAACAAAGTAAATTCAGTAGCAACCAGCCAACAACTTGTGCTGCAGCTTGCCCGGAAAATAAAGTGTTATCTAACAAACTAGCTGACAGTGTGTGCGTTATGCATCATCGTTACATACTTGCTGTGATTTAACAGTGTGCTTACTGTCAGTTTTCGCTGTGGCCTCCGCTGAACGCATGTCTGACTTCCTCCCTTCCCGTCCCTCATCCCCGTCTTTCCGTCCAGGCTGAGAGATTGAGAGCTGCAGGGCTGCGACATGTGAAGAGAGCTCGACCCCTTGACCCTCTCAACTCTCAACCTTAGGTAAGCAGCATCCTCACCTCCTCCCCTGTCTCCTCTTCCATCTTTTTCCTCCCATGTCTCCTCTTTGATGCCTCTCAAAGCTCAGATCTGAATTTCGTTGTGTTTTTTGCAGCAGAACTCACTTAAACTCACGTTGTGACCGCGACCTGACACCCTCCTGCCTCGGGCATGCCTCAGGTAAAGTAGGAACGCCGCCGCAACCCTTAAAGTGGTTCTAACTCATTGTCTCTGGATTATACTCCACCTGGTCTCTGTGCTGGATTAACTCTTTGTGCGCCTCCTTCCTGTTTAGCCGGGTATGAACGGGATGGAGCCTGCGTTTGGCGAGGCCTACGGGGGGCACAGGGGTCTGCTGAGCCCCTACCCCCTGGCCATGTCGCCACAGGGGGGCAGGACCGAGTACGATCAGGTGAGACGAACCCGCATTTCTCAAGCTCATTGTGAGACTCCTCAGGGGGTTTGAATGTCCTTGAAAAAGTTTGTTTGTTTGTGAATAGCAAAATACAGACCTTTGTTTTCTGGAGTAGCTTTTTCAGAGTAAAATTGATTTATTATTATTATTTTTTAAATTAAAATTTAAATCCAGTCCTTCCCGTCTTTTGTAAGTATCATGCTTTACCTTGAATTTTACCAACAAGACCTTGAAAGTAATAGAAAACTACAATTGAAGCCAGCAGATGTTTTCTCCAAATGCTGCTCTGCTGGTTGTTAGTTTGTCAGTTCATTTAATCCACCTCACGTCTCAGATGTGGCTATATTGTTTGTGAGGGCCAGCATGAAGCTGTGTTCCTTTGAAACAGTAGGAAAAGTGATTCTCTGTAATAATTACAGCACATGTAATTTAGGGGTAATGTACAAATGATACAGTATGATGTAGAAAGTTTATTTTTGGTTCCAGCCCATTTCTAAGCACACCTCTGCCCTCTTTTAGAGTGTGCTCCTTATGCTGGGCTCCCCAGCATCGCCAAGGAAACGGCCCTTTGAGTTGCTAAGCGACCTGGTGGACGACGGAGGCTTTGGCGAGGACCTGCACCCGGAGCGCTGGGATGTGTCGGCTCTGGACGAGATGGCTCGCTACACCAAGCTCGGCCTCGGGGTTGGGGGGGAGCTGCTGGCCTGCTCCGAGGAGGCTGTCCTGATAGGCCGCTGGGGGAGGAGCCGGGAGGAGCAGGAGGAGGAAGAGGAAGAGGAGAGGAGGAGGGGGAACAGACACGCATCCCCTCCCGTCACCCAGGAAGTCCAGGACCCTGCTGCTGCTGCTGCTGCTGCTGCAGGGGAAGAGGAGGGGCGGATCTCTGTTGCCACGACAACGGAGAGGGAGTTATGTGTTGCAGGAAGAGCAGCAGGAGGAGGACAGGATGGGGGGATGTCAAGGGAGCGTATGGTGGAGGTCTATCAGGTGGCACAGGAGGAGGAAGAAGTGGTGGCGGTGGCGGCGGCGGCGGCAGCGGCGGCAGGGCTGGCTCTGGAGCACTGCAGCGAGGAGCACAACTACTCCCTGAGCCAGGGAGGGGAGCTGGGGGCAGGGCCCGGTCACAACTCCCAGTCAGAGGAGGTGCAGGCGGCGGAGACGCAGCAGGAGGCGCGTAGGGACGAAAACCAGGCCAGGACTGAGCTGGAGGATGAGGATGAGGAGCAGGAGGAGGAGGAGGACGAAGAGGAGGAGGAAGAGGAGGAAGAAGAGGAGGAGGAGGAAGGAGAGGAGGGAGCGGAGGAGACAGCGGTGGAGGCCGAACTCTCAAGTTCCTCAGAAACTGAATGTGGTGAGTTTGTGTGTATCAGTGTGGCGAGGACATCTCAGCTCATCACAGCGCTGCCAGCAGCCCGTCTGCCCACTCAGAAACCATTTTAATCTGTCTCCGGTCCAGACGAGACCTCAGACCGCCTCGTCTGACTGGGTTGGCTGAGCAGAGGCACATTAAATACCAAATTTGCGGGTGTAATTCCCAGACATCACACTGCTTCAGCAGCTACAGCGTTACTGTTATGAAATGGCTTTGAGGGTTGGAGTCTTCTCATGTATTGAAATACCATCTGCAACAGCCACGCTGCTTTGTCTGGAGGGTGAGGTGGGGGGCTTGTAGTTGAACATGTTAAATAGGGTATGAAAGTTGGTACAGATTGTTAAACAAGCGTTACAGAAGAGCTGGATTTTTAAACAGCTTCAAACGCAACACAAACACGCCAGCTACAGACTGCAGCGTTCAGCTGGTGGCTCATTATAAAGTAGCTCTCTTGCTTCATTATTTCTTTACACCTCACTTATCATTCACAAATACTGAAGGTACATAGTAGAGCTGAAACCGTTTTATTTAACCGTAGGGATGCCACACATTTGCTTGTTGTAGCTTTTTAAACTTTTCCGTGTCATGTTCTAGTAGAACTGCTTGTCTTTGGTTTTGGATTGTTGGTCCGACAAAACCAGATGTTTGAAGCTGTCACATGGGGCTCTAAGAAACTTCCATTATTTTCTGACTTTTCACAAGCAGTTAATCCATCAATTTAGAGAAGAATTGGCAGAGAAGGTGATGATGGAACCAATCATTAGTTGCTTGTGTTGTCCTGGTGCTGTGGATTCAGCCTTTGACCTCCTGGTTTGCATGTATGGACTTCAAGGAAGAATTTGGTTGCCAACAAAGCTTGTATATGTTTCAAATTAAGTCAAAAGGACTGCTAGACAAACACAGGCTGACTAACAAAATAATCTATTGACTTTTTAAATAATGCCACTTGAAAAATCTATAGATGCACACATTGTGAGCTTATGCAGGAGTACCCTTTATGTCTCTACATAAACAGCTGCTGTGGGACGTCTGTGCACTGAGACTGAACCGTATCTGCTATTAAAATGCAACCCGGCACTGTTTTTTTGAAGGGTGTCACATTCACTGAAGAGGCTGCATAGTACTACTGTGACTAAAGTGAATATAACAGCTTCTTTTCTGTTGCGTCAAATTCGGTGGCGTTGCAGCTGAGAATTTTTAGAACAGGCTCAGCGGTGTCACTGACTCGTTATTATGAGGCTGTTATTTACTCTCTAATTTACAGTTTTGAGTAGGCGGATGCAAAAAATGTGAGTTTTTTTTTTTTTTTTGCTGAAGTTTGTCAAATCTGACGGGAACAAGGAGACTTATTGTATTTCCAAAGTGCAGATAGTCCCCAAGTGTATCTATAGAGCACAACGTTGTTCATTTTGGCCTCACTGTGGAGCTGTGACTAACTGAATTTGTGGATGCCTTTCTCAAGCTTCAAGAAATAGTTTGCAACAAGTGGAGGTGTATTTTAGGACAATACTTATCATTGAGGAATCAGTATTTCCCCGAGGAACCAGGAGGCAGGTGGCCTTATATGATTACAGTCCTATATTATAAGTGTGTATCAAAAACTGAACAGCTTCTTCCATATTTTTACTCCAGAACTTCATACTTCCTCATGTGCAGAAGGAATTGGTACCATGACCTAAATATTTCTAAAATCCTCTCTATGTCCCTGAGAGTCAATGCCTCCCTCAGACCTGGAAAACTGGGCGTAGTGATTACGCATTGTCAGACTAATGCATGATATTTGCACAAGATGTACTTTATTAGACAATAGTGAAAACATGTCCTGTCACTCAGTGTTCCAGTCCGAAAACATCCCGTCAAACAGTCACTTGTTTCACTCATATCCTCACGAGTATCGATTAAAGGCTCTGAATCGGTCGACTAGTGACGTGGATTAGATTGTTTGGCTTGTAAAAAAAAAAGCTGTTGTACAGTCGTGACTCGATGATCCGACACTAAATGTAAAACCTTCCTTTATGTCGGATAGCAAAGCTGTCGGATTGTCAAGACGGAGGTCTAGATACAAGGAGGGCTTGATGCTGGAAGGCTCATTAGTTGTTAATTATAGTTCATAGTTGTTATAATAACTAGTGTATTGTTAGAACACTACGCATCGCTGGATTTCAGCCTAACTGACCGGTGTGATTGTGCGCGTTCCGGACACTTCCACCCCGGGGCAGCGCTCTGATGAGGTGGATGTGGCCGGAACGCACAGGCAGTACTTGGCTGCTGATGCTAGTTTAGGATAGCGGTCCCAGGTCTGTTTCTACTATCGGTAGCATCTGCGGCGGGGGAGTGGCGGGCAAGATACACTGCATCGTTACCATCCATGTTTACTTCCATAAACACTGAGCACGCTCGCTGCGTGTGACGTCGTCGTGTCCTCTTGTGCGCATGCGGGACACTTTTGGGTCGTATGAAGTTCACACAGCAGATCACATACAAGTCGCATTGAACTGGAAACGTGAAGGAAGTCACAAAGAAATCCTCATTGAGCATCAAGTCCTGCAGTGTGAACGTAGCCAATCTGTGGGATTGTTCAGTCAGATAATACGCCGTCATCCTGATTGGTGACATTAAATGTCATGTCGGAGTCACAATCCAAGGCTGTCGGTGTGTTAAGGCTGTTTTTATGGGTTCTGTTGGTTTTTCCTAAAAACCTGTCAGATAGCAGGTTTAGGATTGTTAAGGGTCGGATTATGGAGTCACGACTGTATGATGTCTGGAGCAGCTCTGGAAAACTTCAAATTCTGTGTTTAGCAGGCATGAAGGGTCTAATGAAAGATCCTGTCAGGTTGCATTATGGGAAGGGTAGGCTTCAGATTCAGAATCAGTGGGATGTCGCAAGAGCAACAGCGTCTCAGGGCTTACCTGCCTCTCTTCCCTCAGGGTTTCTGACAGTGGTCGGTAATCCAAGCTCATCTTGGCTAATAATGCATGTTTTGACCAAAGGTACAGTAGTTTGGTAGCACCCTTTAGCTGACCGTGCTGCTGTTGGCCGTAGCTCTGTCTTTGTTGGAGGCCATTTTAGCCCACAAGTGGTTTTCTTTGTGGAAGTCAATCTGGAGGGCCACACTGTGCCGTCACCCTTTTACAGTAGAGGTTATTTTTTTTTATAAATGCGGGGAGGGCCGACAGTTTCAAAGGGAAGAGCTCACATGCATGACACAGCAGTTTGCCAGAACATATAGAAAAGCTTTACTTCCAAGCCACGTAAATGTCACTTGGATCTCTGCTAGAAACGCCGTTACGCTGCTATATCTTTCCGTAGAAGATAGTTGTTTGTAGCTGTATTAATTGGATCAATTAAAACTGCGCTTGTGACGTCTCCCAACTCCATAGAATAATGAATCACCTAATTTATTTCTTTTGTGACATTGTGCAAATTACCGTGCAGACAAAACCAGGACAGAATCGTAGGCGCCTTAGCAGAGTTAATACGATGTTCTAATATAACCATTAGTCCAGCAGCCTAATCCCATAATAATGAACTGCAGGCCACAGATGGAGCCACTGGTTGCTGCTAGCACAGAGCATTAGCTAAACCCCTTAAATGTGAGAAGAGATTTTATGTGCAGTCTACAGGACATGAAGTATAAACATGTATATTCGGTGACACGCACATAAACCGACTTCACTTCAGATTACCATCTTTTCCCAGGCTCTCGCTGCCTGTGATCGTCCTCGCGTTAGATAAACAAATCTCAGGCATCTTGTTGCAAGGTAATGGAGAGGTCGCTGGCTCGCTCTCAAAGACCGGTCCGGGTCACATTTCAGCAGTCGCAAGGCGCCATTGTTGCTCTCCATTGTTATGGCACTGTGTGTTTGTGTGCGTTTGCCCAATTGAGCTATTCTTACCGTTAGCCCACGGCTGTCGCACAGGGCTGGATGACGGATGGGAAAGTACGGTGTGTGTTCAACAGAGATAGGTGGTGGTGGTGGTGGTGGTGGTGGTTGGGTGAGTTTAGGAGATTGTACAGAGGGCTTGAGGAGAATGTTTGTGTGTGAGGGGGAGAGTGCAGACAATGGCGTTATCTGCAGACTGGACCAGACGACACGACGTTACATAAGCCATCTGTGTGTGTGTGTGTGTGTGTGTGTGTGTGTGCGGTCATCACTGGTCATCCTTGACTAATGGCAAGGATCGGACTTCATGGTTATTGAGTTTGAGCGTGATTTAATCCTTCTCGAAATGACTATTTTCATTACAGCGGCGTATTGTTTGTTTTATGAACATGCTGTAGCTCTGGTGGGTTTGAAGAAGCGTCTCTTCTGTCCTCCTGCTGGTGGAGCTTTGCACGTTGTATTATTTATGATGCCATTATTCATGGCTCTGCGCGCCTGAGGCTAATCTTCTGTGACGTGTGTGTGTGTGTGTTGTGTGTGTGTGTGTGAGAGAGAAACAGCATACGTGCATACAGTTTCGGCTGGTGGCGCCTTTGTCATCAGGACATACAGCATGTGTCGGTGGATTAGGGCTCGCCGTGTGATTTCATACCAGGCAAACATAAACATTAATACCTGTCAGTTATGATTACGCTTCATCTGTCATTTTAAGTTGCAGGGTGTTTTTCTAATAATAAATATCTTGTGCACAGCTGTCAATGCTGTCCACCTCCGTGGTAATGGATGGCATTCAGCTTTCCTCACAATAAACGATAAATTGGCTGCAAGTATTGATTCTGTGTTTGGATAATCTCATCGCTGACTCTCTATATGAGTTTCCAAATCTCAAGTGGTACTGCTGCAACATCTGGACCAAATTACAGTCAGTTCTTGAGTCAAAGTAATGGAGATTAATAGGATATTGCGTTTTTCAAAAATGCTAATCGGAACGCTTTAAGTTTCTGTTTTTTTGGCGTTATGGCGCCAGATTGTTAAGATATCGACTATTGGCAGATGCCAAGCCAATAAAGCGACGCTAAGTGTCTCACTCAATCAAAACGATTCGGTTTGACGTGCTGCGACGAGTTCGAGGTCAATCAGTGTTTAAACAAACTCTTTGATGGTTCAGCAGTTCTGTCACTTTTATTTGTAGTTACACGTAATTTGGCGCAGCGTGCCTCGCTGTGAAATTAAACCAGAAGATAAGATCAGACAAGATAAGAGAAACGGAGCAAAAGAGAGCTGGCGGGTCGACTCACAGAACGAGACTAAATAGTTTTTACCCCGATGAGCAGTGATGTGTCTGCTTTGGGGGCAGCACCAGAGGGACGAGCTGCATCTCAGCTACGATGTGATGGATTGCCATGAAATATGATGCAGGCGTTCAGAGGATGAATTGTCGTCATTCTGAAGATGCAATGACTTTTTGAGCGGACAAATCATAAACATTTGATCATGTTCTGCCATTTTTTTTTTGCCTTTCCTCGCTCAGGTCAAGAAAGAGATCAGCAAGCTCCCCAACATTGCTGGATCTTAATCTCTTTTGCATGCAAACACGGTCTTTCCTCTGGTACCGGTGCTCAAGTCGAGCTTTAGATTTAAGTGTTAAGCATCTATGAATAGCAACGCTTTTCTTTTTCATCAAATATTTTTTTCTAGTGTGAATTGAAGCCCGTGGTGTCACTTGTGTTTAATTTTGTTCAGCCCTCTGAACCTCGAAACACACCGCTGGGGTTGAAAGGCATGTTAAAAAAAAAAAAAAGTCCTAATTTATTCACTGTTTATGACAGCTAAGAAATAGATTTTCACCTTTCCGACAGTCCTAGAGCTGTGTGACGGGCTGTTCTGCAGGGAAAAAATAACCAAACATAAGCTTTGAATTACAACATTTCATCAAAATCAAGTTATTCTAGATGCTTTTTTCAAAATTCAAAAAATCGCTGTGCTTCTCGATGCAACTGGAAACCCATTAGTGGCCTGAGACTTGTCACGTGACAGAAATTCTTTTTGGAGAGAGCAGAGTGGAAAGAAACTGCAGAGACAAAGTCAAACATACCTGATGGAGAAAATAAATGTTCAAAAACAGTATTCAGAGAAGCAAAGTGAGAGGAAGTTGGTGGAGGATACATTGAGCACGGTGAAACGTCTTTCTACGGTTGATGTGGGGAGCAGTGGGAAGATTGTAGAGGTTTCAGAAATGTATGTAAAACATCTGCTTTATTTAGAGCCTTAATTTAAAAATAAAACGAGTAAAAATGTGACACGAGTAAATCATTAAGTGTTCCTTCATGTTGACTGTTTGTTGCATGAATATTCAAAATGTCTATAATCACATCATAAAAGTCTAGCAAGCTACACCTGTTTGTTACTCGCAACACTTCTTTTGTATTTGTGCACAAATCCAAAACTCGGCGTGCGTTTTGTTCCTGCAGAGGTGGAGGCGGAGCCAGCCAGGCAGCCAGGTGAGCGCCCGTCGAAGCGCCGCTGCTTCTGGGAGTACAGGCGCGCTCGGGAGTCGGCCACGAAGAAGAAACTGGGCGGTGACGTCCACTGGTCTCTGTCCTGGAGCTCCAGCACTCTACCCAGCACGCTGTACCGCAGAGAGGGTGAGCAAAGCGTCGACATCGATCGGTGAACAAATCACGTATGAAAAATGTGAAAATCGTGTCACGAGAATTTATTAAGAAAAGCTGTTTTAATGCGGCTGTTTTTGGGGTCAGACGGAGCGAGCTGGTGGGGATTGGGACGAGCTAATTCGTATAAAAGATAATTGTTAGATTGATTGGTAATTGCAGCCCTAATCACAGAGAGGAGAAGCCAGAACCCAAAAGTTCAAAGATCCGCTGAATGAAAGCCTATTAGCAGCAGGAGTCATTAAACCGACGCTCGCGCTGCAGCTGACAGCGTCCCATTTCTCTTCCCTCGTGTGACACAAATCAGTTCAGGACCCTCAGGCGTGTGCCCTACATACAACTTTCATGTCAAAATGTGAATTTTTCAACACTCCTCTGATAAGTGAATCTTATGTCAGGCACCACTGTGGCTGTGCAGCAGTTTGGCAGCTTGTGTTCTGCAGTACAAGCCAATATGACACAGCCCATTAATCTGATCCGGCAGAGCAAAATCACAACGTACCGCTCCAAAAATTAACATTCAGCACTGTCATCCATTCTGTCAGTGTTATGTATTACTTTATTAAAAACTCTTCTTTGTAGCTGCTCCATAACAGCAAACAGAAGACGATTTGCATGCCTTGTGCACCTGTTTATACACGTCTACGCGCTGATCAACCGCAACGTTACAACCACTGACAGCTGCTGCATTCGTATAGATGTAACCCACCTAAACATTGCTGCTAACCACCCCGGCAATGGCACTCCTCCTCCAGCGAGACGGTGTGACCTGACGCTTCTAGGTGCACGATAAAGAGCAGAAGGTGCCGACAAGGCCTCCAAACTCGCTAAATCCCAATTTGATCGAGCACGAACAAGCCTCAGGACCCACCGCCTCTGCCACATGCTCACAAGTCCGGCGTTCATGTCTGGACGGGCCGTATTTTGGATAAGAAGTTTAAGAAAGTGTTCATCAAAGTTGCACAGTCGACCTCAGATGCATTCGTCCCCTTCCATTAAAGAAAAGGCAAAATTCACAATAAAATAAGTTGAAAATGAAAGAAGTAGTCATAAATAAAAATTTGTTAAATTCTAATTTAGTGAAATAAGACGTTGCTTTTGAATTGTGGTTGAAAAGAATATTAACAAAAATAAAAAACTGTCCTGGACCAATGAGAGTACTTTGCTGATGAGCAGTGGACCAATGAGAGCACTTTGCTGATGAGCAGTGGACCAATGAGAGGCCTTTGCTGATGAGCAGTGGTCCAGAATACCTGTCAACAGGTGCACAAGTCTGACTGAGAGTTACAGAAACACCTGATGGCAGTGATTGGCTCAGAGGGTTGTTCAGCTACATGTTAGTTCACAGGTGCCATCATGCTTGCGTGTTTTTGTCAATTTCAACTTATTTCGCTGTTTTTTTCCTTCTCTAATGAGAGGCTATGAATACATTTGAGGACATGATATTTGTCTGCACGGCGTGATTTTGGACTCGCGTTGGTGGGTTTATAAAACCAAGAAGCGGTGAGATTTTTTACAGATAGGCACCGAGTTCATTCTACTGTTCTTTTGTTTAGGCAAGAAAGGGCGCCGCAAAGCACGCAAAACCGACGCCAGCGACCTGACGCCGAACCCCCAGAAGCTCCACAACATCGGGGAGCAGCTGCAGAAGCTCAACGCTGCCATCGACGGCATGGGTCCGGTCAACGACCTGCCCGCCGTGGCTCGAGCCCGGTCCCGCAAGGAGAAGAACAAGCTGGCCTCTAGGTACCGCGTTGCCTTTTTACCACCATCCTACATCTTCTGCGCTTAAGTCAGAGCCCCGGAAACTTTCTGTTATTGATTTGTCAGGCGTGAGTGGGAATTTTGAGAGGTTTTCTGTGTTTTTAAAATAGTTGGCAGAAAAGACGATCCTGCAGGGCTCTGTGGTTTAGTATGTGCAGTCTTTAGCCTTGTCGAGATTGGTTTTCAAATATGCTGTGCATTTAATGGTTGACCCTCTAATACCGTTTCCGCAGGCCATGGACAGAGAATAATACGCTGAGAAAAACATCTGTGTGGAGTTTACGGCATTAGTTAAATTCATTTGATCGAAAATCTAAGGAAATGAGTCTGCCCGGTGCCGTTCGCTGTTGTTTTGACATGTCAGGAAAGATTTGATTTCAGCTCTTCAGCACAGCATGCAACAGAGCAGATGACCTTTAAAAACCCACCTCAGAAGATGCTGCCATAATGTGCTTCTGTACATTTTGAATTCACTTTGAATATGTCTCCCAAGAATTAGACATACAACACCAGTGATTTAAGAAGGTAGCTCACGGGTGTGTCTTTCAGCTGATCTGCTCTTTTTAATGAGTTTACCTCGGACATTGAAAGAATGAGTGAAGGAAGGACGGAGGGATGCAGAGGAAAGCAGCAGACGGAGTGAGATGGAAGAAAGCAGGATGACAAGCTGAATGGGAGGAAATCAGGCAGGATTGAGGAGGCAGACAAGGAGTTAGATGTGGAGGAAAAGATGGGTCATATAAAGTTCATCTGCGCAGGGAGGGAGGGGGAGGATTGAGAATTCAGGACATTATTACAGGCAGTTTAAAAGAGGAGAGGGACTTTGGGAATATCTTGTTATTCCAAACATATATTAAACACGACACAAACACACCATCAAATAGAAAGTTGACACGGGAAAAAAAAAAAAAAGATTCAGAGGAAAGACTAAAAAGATAAAAGGAGAAGCAGCGAGGGGAGAGGAGGAAGTTTGGATTTCACTCGTACCGTAACGCGACTGAGTTCATGCTCGCGTTTGATATGCAGGAATTTCATGTGTGAAGATTCACTTCTTTATATTGTCATGCTTGCGGCTGCCGGGTCAGTGTCAGCCGTGGGATTATCCTGACCGCCTCCAGACCTTCCCTCGCTTTCTTTTCCCCCAATTGTGTCCAAAAACAAGCTGCCCAGGGCGTCCGGGCGGCGCGGAGGAAAAACACCCGCTGACCCGCTGACTCGTCTTAACAGCCCATCATTTTGGAAACAACTGTCCACTTTGTTTGTGAGGGTTACACGAGCAGAATGATATCAGTTTTACCTCTGCGTGCTCAGTACCAAGACTGTTTAACTCAGTCGTGCTTTGAGGTTTAATCTTCGGGTGCACCGATAGCTCATCAGGTGGAGCAAATGCACAAAGTCCTTACTTCAGTAACCTGGGCTCGATTCCTCACGCATGTCATCCCCCGTTTCCCATTTCCCCGCCTCTCATCAGCTACCTCTCAAAAATAAAGGCATAAAATAATTAAAATGAGATTTGAAATAGCAGGTTTACAGGGCATCCACGTCTACTTTTTTTTTTTTTATTACAGTCATTTTATTAGCTTTTCATTTAGCTTAGCTTAGCAGAGAGACTGGATGTAGGTAGAAAGTGTTCCATCAGAGTAAATGGTCTCACTTACGTAGCGCTTTTCTACTCAAAGCGCTCTACGATGTGTTTCTCATTCACCCATTCATACACCAGTGGTGACAGAGCTGCCATGCAAGGTGCTGCCTGCCATTGGGAGCAACTTCGGGTTCTTGCCCAAGGACAGGAGGGGCAGGACCGCCAGCCTTGTGATTGAAGGACAACCCGTTCTAGCACTTGAGCCACAGCCGCCCTGGTAGCTGAATGGCTACACTGCATGCTGCATAACTGTAACCGAGGACCTGTGCTGCGTGTCACAGCCCTCTCTTTCATCCTGTTAGATATGTCAAAATGATCTTAAAAAACAATCTGCCCCTTCTCCTGCTCCATCAAAGGTACACCAAACAGCTTCAACTCTGCAAAAAAAATGTATGGAGATGAGGAAGTGTTTTTTTTTTTTAATGGAAGCTAACAGTTTCCCCTTGTTTCAAGCCTTTGACTTAAATCCGGTTGAGCACAACTTGAACATGTGTCTTTACTGAGCACAAGGTGTGTTTTTTGTTCGGTAACGCAACTGTGTGTAGTAGAGAGATGGAGGAAGATCACTGATATCATAGACTGTCATAAAGGGTGGATGTAGCCTCCAGGTCTGGAAAGTGAGTCGACGTGGACACTGAACCTGAAGCTGCTCCCGATGGCAGGCAGCAGCTTGCATGGCAGCTCTGTGGCCACTGGTGTATGAATGTGTGTGAATGAGAAACACATCGTAAAGCGCTATATAAGTGCAGACCATTTACCATTTGTAATATTCAGCAGAGGGCGACTCCTCTGGTTGCGAACATCTGTCTGTCAGTCATTGTGATTGACGGGTCGTATCCCCTGTGTGTCCTTGAGCTGTCCGTCAGGTCCACTCCTCACCTCTTACGTCCGGTTTCAGAAGACCCAGATGGCAATTTCAAACGTGAGGTTTCACAGTGGCATCCCACAGCCCGCTGCGTCCACCTTTTATATGCAGTCTATGGCTCATATTTGGTCATGTACATAGTTAGCATCTGTCAGATTTACCATCTCTCTTGCTCCCACTGCTTTCCCGTCTCTTCTACACTCCTCTTTACTCCTGTTTCTGTAATGCACACAACAGTGGTACGTAAATCAGTCTGAGCCCCCTTGTTTCTCATTTATAGAAATAAAGCGGCTCGGACTGCGTACAAACACTGGATTTTGTTTTCCGGTGCGCACACAGAACACACAGCTGGGGACAAAAAGTGTGTTAGATCAGACTCGCGTACTCCACCTTTAACTTCACCCGAACGTCCGTAACCTGTGGATAAGTCTGTGCAGAACTTTTGCAGCTTCTTTGTGAAATGACAAATGCAGTGACTCCTGTTGAGACAGCAAATAAGCAAACTTTATTCCTATAAAGGTAATGAATTAAATCAGTCATGGAGCTTCCAAATGTTGTATAATTTCGCCCTGCAGCGTTGTCCTCAGCACAGTGACACTGCCGTGTGGCTGCCATGTCATTGTTTTCCCAAAGACACAGTGAGCTTGCTTCCATTATGGGATTTGTTAAAGAAGGTGATGGTTTGCATCGGCTTCCAGGTATCTTACAGACCCTAGACCCTGTTTTCCGTAGCCATGCAAGTCGCTGAAGCTTTTAACTTGGCGATAGTATTTTTCCAACCCTCAGGCAGCCACTGGTTTCTTTACATTCAGTGCACCAATTAAATCAATTTGCAGCTGCAGGTAATCCATCACAATGAACAGCATGGCTTCTGTGGGGGCTATTTTTAGATTTGCATGGAGAACAGTGACTGTTTCAGACACTCTACCTGCACTATCGCATATACAAATCTAAAAACCTTGCAGCACATGTTGGAACACCCTCAGTGCTTTTGTCAGTCCCATCCCCGCAACGGTTTGGTTGCTGTGTGGTCGTCCACATCCTCCTCAAACCAGCAGGGACTGTGGTACTGGAAGAAAAAAACCTGGCAGAGGCAGAACCCAACATGTGGAGAAACACGCAGGAAATTTTCTGTCCAGCACTACTGACCTGCAAGTATTTAGTTTCACCAACTTTCATTTAGCTGACTCACAGCTGCAGGAAAAGAGAAATTCTCTGCAAAGAATAGTCCCCGTGAGACGCATTAATATTTAACATGCATTGATTGTTTTACTCTCAGCTGCCTTTTTTTAAAACTCTGAAACCAAAACCGGCCGTATCCCTTCAGTGCGGCGGTGTCAAATGGTGCTTCGGAGGGGTGAGGGAGGTTTCCAGTCAATCTCCCTCACAGTTTGGAAATACATCCTCCACTCATCGCTCTCCAGCTGCTCTCAGTGTGAGCCGGCCGACTCCGTAACAGGATCATGTGGAGAACGGGAATACTAGAGCGGAGTTTCCTGTTCCAGAGAATGACGGTGTTTTATTTTCCTCTGTTCTCAGGGCCTGCCGGCTGAAGAAGAAGGCCCAGCACGAAGCCAACAAGATCAAGCTGTGGGGGCTCAACCAGGAGTACGGTCAGTACCACACTCGTACAGTAGCTTCTTCCCATTGTGATGATTTTCATGTTGAAGGACTTAATCTAAGATTTTCCAAGAACTCAAAAGAGACGCTTCATCCTGATTGTGTGGATTTATAAAATACGCTGCTGCTCATAAAGTTGGAATTTTTTTTTTTTTTACCTCTTCTCATGAAATGATTGTGACAATTTATTCTTGATAGATAAAGCAAAACTTTATTGATATCACAATGTATAACAGTACAAATTAAACCACAGTTAACTTTTACAAACTGTGTTCAAGCTTGAACTAAATTGGGGGTTAATGAACAAATAGATGAAGGGTTTTGTTTCAGTTTTTCTACCTTGGTCATATAACAGGAAGCACATATTCGACACATATATTCATATCCAATATTGCTCTTCCAATGTGTTAAGACACCGTGGCGTACTGTCCACCAGCTGGTTGATGGAGTCAACAGTCTTCAGTCAGATCATGAAGTCAGAATTTGTTTCACCTGGTAACTGGGACTCAGTGTGTCATCACTGCACCTGGTCAGAAGTGATGTGTATGAATAAAAATAAAAAGAGGAACGTGTCTGAAAACATACTCCAACTTTATGGGCGACAGTGTAGATATGAAAGGTTTGAATTCGGCTCATTGACGCGATTGCTTTACTAACCGATCCCCTCAAATGTTCTGAACCGGGTTCCCCGCGGTGTGTGATACTGAAGGTTCGCTATGCCTGAAATAGCACCTCTCTGCTAACAGCACAAGAAATGATTAGACTTTAATGGAATATTGCATGAAATATCACATTAAATGGTAAATTTACTGCAGAGCGCATCACAGTGCCAGGAAACAAAAAATAGAAGATGTTCTCCAGCAGGTCTTTGAGGATGTCGTTGAGCTGTGACATCTGTTGTCTGAAGTGGTCTGTGTTTGTTGTGACAATTAGAATACCCAGTTTGGATGCTGTCATTTACGCAGCTTTTGGTGTCTTTTGGTTCACCACGCTAGCACGGCTGATCGTCACTCGATGCGTTGAACTTGTCAAAGCTGTGGGCACGAAAAAGAACATTCCTTCAAAGTGATGATGGCTTTAAAGGCAGCAAACGCAGTATGGTTTGTAGAGTAGGGCTGTGAAATTCAAATTTAAGGATGAACTGAACAGCTTTTTGTGGGCAGTGTTCTGTACAATCACCGAGACGGGCCTTATCGTCAGGCACGGTCAGAGTCCATCCGTCCATCATCTATACACCTTAATCCTCACTAGGGTGGTGGGGGGCTGGAGTCTATCCCAGCTGACTCAGGGTGAAGGCAGGTTCACCTGGACAGGTAACCAGTCTATCACAGGGCTACACTTAGAGACAGACAACCAAGCACACTCACATCCACACCTACGGACAATTTACAATCACCAATTAACCTCAGCATGTTTCTGGACTGTGGGAGGAAGCCGGAGAACCCGGAGAGAACCCACGCTGCACGGGGAGAACATGGAGACAGAAAGATCCCGGGTGTCCTCACCGGGACGCGAGGCAGCGGTGCTACCCACTGAGCCGCCGTGTAGCCCCCAGTCAGAGTCATAGATGCTGAGTTATCTAATAACGTACATCATGGTGAGCGCTGAGTTAGACCTGGTGACACGTCTGCGTTATTTTCAACACGACACAAGTCATGAAGCTACAGTCACTGATTCAATGAGCAACATGGTTCTGATAGTTCCTTTAATGAGGTCATGTTCTGTATGTAGTTATGGGAACGCATCCACAGAAATGAGGCTGATGTTGCAAAAATCCTGCTGTGACACTGAAACTAAAAAACAAAAAATCTTCCTAATAAAAAACTTGGTGCGACTTCAAAGCATCAGAGTTGGACGGTGAAATAAATCCGGACAGCCGTGATGGAGCTCAGGACTCAACCTGATGATGATTTAAGTGTTCCTCTGCGTCGTCTGTCTGAGGTTGGGAAAAGTACACCGTGTCATTTGCCGTTCGATCTCGGCCAGTCCTGTCCTGTTTATAAACCTGCTGTTAGTGTAGCTCCCAGTCCCCGTCACCTCTGTGGCGGGTTTGTCTGAGGAACAATAAGGTAGAAGTGACTGTCTGGATGTCGTCGCTCCAACAGAACGGTGAAGCTGGGACACCGTGGACGTGTAGTTCCTGTTATTGTACTGCCTTCTAGTCCGCTTAGAGGACTCCATACATGCACAGTCGGTCAGCATCCACATGTTCTGCACATGAACACACGCGTGACCGCCCTCGTGCTGCAGACAGACTGTCAGGACTGCGGTCGATGACATCACTCGGATTGTGTTTTTAAAGCTGAACAAAGTATAACGTTGGCCTGTTTGTAGGAGAAGCTGTGGAACCTACAACATTTAATGTTGTTGTTCTACCAAAACAGCTCCGACCCATTTGGGCATGGACACGGGACCTCAGGGGGGCGTCCTGGTGCGTCTGGCCCCGGGACGTTGGCAGCTTTGAGTCTTGTGGGTTGCAGGGTGGGCATCCCGCAGATGCTCGATAGGATGGCTCTGGCTCTTTGTCATGCTCCTGGAGTCGTTTCTGAGCACTTTTTGTTGAGTGGCGGGAAGCGTTGTGCTGCCGGGGGAGGCGGCTATCGCCCGGGAGTGCCGTTGCCATGGGGGGATGCGCTCGGTCTGCAACAATGTTCTCGGGGGGTGGGAAGTGTCGAAGTAACATCCACATGAATGGAGAAGATGCAGAGCAGACGCAGAAGATGATGAGCGTTGCACGATTCGTCTATCAGCAGGCAGATGGGTGCAGACATCAGTGTAAATCTACAAAAGCTGAAGTGTGGCAGTCGCTTACATGATGTTTGACTGACTGATCAAATGTGTTTTTAAGCACAGCAGCAGTTAAACTAATCGAGAATGAAAGTCACAACAGAGACTAATGGCTTCTACAGCAAATAACTGCAGAGCGGTAAAGCCAACGTGTTCTAGCAGCTCCACAGTATAGAAGGAAAAAACACAAACTACAAATCAAGCTAAACGACTGAGAAAACCATCTTTTGGAGGCACTCCGACGATGCTCTGTTTAAGAAACCGGTGTCACGCAGAAAGCTGATAGTAACAAGACCGCCGAGGAGCATGTAAACACTCGGAGGAAAAACCTGAGAAGTGTGAAGTCACCTCTTTCCCGATAATCAACACCTCGACTCTGCCAAATCTGTCAGCCGAGTCCTGCCTACCTCCTCCTCCTCCTCCTCCTCCTCCTCGGTTCCACCTCTTTGAATTCCAACCTAACCAGCACCCAACTCGCTTTGTCCTTTTCTTCTCCCAATTTTTTAGCATTCCAGTCATTCCTGATCCTGGCCCAACATTTCACTGCAAAGGCTTTAGTTGTGGCTCCCACAAATTTTTTGTCCTCCTGGCAGGAAGCCAAAACACACAGGGCTTAACCTCACACATTCCCTTGCTTCCTCTTTCCCCTCCTCTCCCTCGTCTCCTCGCGCGACTCCTTTTTTTTTTTTAATAAATATTCTCTCCCATTCACTGGCTGTCCTCTCTCTCTCTCTTCCCATCACTGCGATTTGCATCTATACAAAACACACTTTACATACTTAGCGCGGATTCAACAGGAAACTTCAAACAAATAGAACTTTGGCATCGTGCCGCTGCTCAGAAGCCTCCAGACTTTGTGTGTGTGTGTGTGTGTCTGTGTGTGTGTGTGTGTGTGTGTGTGTGTGTGTGTGTTATAGAAACTTGGTAGGGGGGCAGCTGGTCAGACCCACTGTGGTCCGTCGCCCACACACACTCAGGCTCCCCGCTGAGACGAGAGCTGGACAAAAGAGAAATCACATCAATACGAGAATAATGCGCGCTGACAGAAGGGGTGTCACGGCACCATCGGGTCACGTGACCTCACAGGAGGAGGATCACAGGATGCGCCGATGATTCACACCTCCAGCGTCGGAGCTGAAGCCTCGAACCATTTACATGTTGTGGAGAGACGCGCGGCTCATGTAGAAATGTGCAGAGCGAGAAACAAAACCTGCCACGCTGGAAAATACTGTTTACAATCTGGACAGAACTGCTCGCTAGAAATGACAGAAACAATTAAAATAGTTCTCCAGATAGTTGCTGATCAATTTTGTGTGCATCAGTTAATAATAATTATCAACTAATTAGCCTGTAAGAGATTCGTTTGTGCGTTTTGAAGTGTTGCATTGAAACAAAACATATAAATATATACAGTTGTGTTTAAAATAACAGCAGTGTGTTTTAAAACGTGAGTAAAGCCTTAAAATATTTTCATTTCCATTCATGGGAACGCTGCACATTATATTTTACATCAAAAGAAAAATGCATCAGTATTTAAATACTTTACAGAAAATGAATGAATTCTGATATATAAATGTTTGCATTTTTCATTACAAACTCAAATATTTACTCAATAAACTGAACAAAATGTTAAGATTTAGCCTTCCTGTGAAACTAATATTTAATTATATATCCACTGTTTTTGAGAACTGCTTGACATCTGTGCTGCATGGAGTCGACCAACTTGTGACACCTGTGACCAGATGATCTGACAGCCTTCCACAGCTCCTCTGCATTTCTTGGTTTGGCTTCAGACACCCCACAAGTTTTCTGTTGGATTAAGGTCTGGCCACTCCAGAGCCTTCGTTTTGTTGGTCTGGAACCAAGATGCTGCTCGCTGACTGGTGTGTTTGGGCTCGTTGTGTTGTTGAAACGCCCATTTCAGGGGCATTTCCTCGTCAGCATGAGGCAGCACGACCTCTTCAAGTATTCTGATAAAAGCAAATTGATCCATGTATACGACATCATGATGCTTCCGCCACCCTGCTTCACCGTCTTCACAGTGAACTGTGGCTTGGATTCAGTGTTTGGGGGGTCGTCTGACAGACTGTCTGTGGCCCTTGAACCCAAAAAGAACACCCTCATCAGTCCACAAAACGTTTCTCCATTTGTTTTTAGGCCAGTCGATGTGTTCTTTGTATCCTCTTCAGCACATCTTTTATTTAACAGTGGGACTTTGCGGGGGCTTCATGCCGATAGATTAGCCTCTCACAAGCGTCTTCTAATTGTCACAGGTAGCTTCAGACCATCTTTGATCTCCCTGGAGCTGATCGTTGGCTGAGTCTTTGCCGTTCTGGCTCCTGTTCGGTCCATTCGAATGGTCTCTCTGGTTTTGCTTTCCCTTTCCAAACACTGGAGATCACTTTAGCTGAGCAGCCTGTCATTTTCTGCACGACTTTATACGTTTTCCTCTCTCCGATCAACGTTTTAATTAAAGCACGCTGTTCTGGGACACCGCGATGGCTCACTCGGTCAAGCTGGTGTCCCGTGTACAGGGGCTACAAGTCCCGGACGCAGTCTGGTAGCGAGTCCGAACCCGGCTCATGACACTTTGCTGCAGTTCATTCTTCTCCCCACGTTCCTGTCCCCCTTCTCCACTGTTCGATCAAATAAAGGAACAAAAGGCCAAAAAATAACTTAAAAAAGCACACTGTTCTTCTGAACAGTGTCTGGAACGAGCCGTCTTCGTCGGGTTTTCAGAGAGAGCTGCACATGCAACACGTGCTGGCTTCATCCGTACATAAGGGCCACCTGAATGACTCCTGTTTCTCCACATAATGAATGAGCTCACTGATTGAGCTCCACACTGCTGTTACCTTGAACGCACCCCTTTCAATTAATTATTCAGTTACACAGACTCAGGAGCTGCATATCATGAATGTTGGGTCTGTTGGTTTCTCTGCTAAATTATTTGCCGTGTGATCATATCATTTCTACCGACACCAGTGGCTGATCGGGTTCATCTGTTGTTCTGAACATATTTTGAAAAAACAACAAAAGTTTGTAGGCTTGCTCGAGGTGGTTTTTGACTCGCAAAAATGCAACTTGCAGGACCGACCGCCTGTACGTGTTGTCCTCTGCTGTGAAAAGCGTGAAACATTAGCAACACTAGCTGACATGCACGAATATCTGCAGCTTGCCCCGTTGAAACCAGCTCTTGAAGAATTCTCTCCGTCATAGATGATCAAAGTTTTGCGTCTTCTTCAAGGTTTGTCTGCAAACAACTGCCTCAGTTTGTTGCAGCCGTGTGTAATGCAGCCTATGTCGCCATTTTTACTTTACCAGGAAAGCAGCTGCCCCGTGCAGCCCCAGTCTGATGTGTGTCGTCCCACGGGGCAGTTAGGGGGTTAACGCTCTCATGATGTAATGTCAGTAACGAAGGAGGGACAAGTCACGAGCCGGCTTGTCTGACCTTTGAGCCGCCGCTGCTCTTATTTCACTTTCACTCCTTTCAGTCTGAACTTGTTTAAGGTTACTTTCACTTTTGTTTTCCTCTGCGTTCTTTATCTACGTCCTGTGTTGTTGGGAAAAAACAGTCCTAATCATTAACGTGGCCACTGTGACTCACACTGTTACTGTAAGAGACGGATGCCAACAGGATTTCATTGTGTTTCCACTGATAATAAAAGCATCTTAATCTGAACCTTACAGTCGTCCTCAGATGTGTTCACAGCCTCCCATTAAAGAAACAGCGAAATAAGTTGAAATTGACAAAAGTAATAATAAATAAAAACGTAATGAACATCATGAGGTTGTTTTTGAATTGTGGTTCAACAGAAATATTTTAAAAAACAAGCAAACCAGCCTGATGGAATATGTAGCTGAACAACCCTCTGAGCCAATCAGGTGTTTCCTGTAACTCTCAGTCAGACTTCTGCACCACATTGCAAGTGTTCTCCGTCAACTTTCAGATAAAGAATTCCAGTTCTGGTGTCGTCTTTCTCACCCTCTGGCGCTGATCTTTATTTCCATTCCAGAAAACCTGCTGGGGGCTCTGCTGCGGATTAAAGAGGTGATCAGACGACGGGTGGAGAGCAGCGAGGAAGAGGACACGGACGAACGAGGGATGACCCAACGCCTGGAAGACATCCTCAGAGAGTCCAGCGGTGAGAAACGCCACAAATTAGCAGTTAGCAAGTTTGAGATGCTTTACTGTCACGGCTGACCACACGAACATGTTAGCTACACCGTGTTCGCTGAGGAGACGCAGTTCCAGCGGTGAATATAGGCGTCTGAAGCAAGTGTAGTGAATAATCTTACATGATATGTGCCATAAAAACTCTATGATATGGTTTTAAAATGTGGGATGTTTCTCTTTTTGTTTCTGATTTCTGTCCACTGACATGGTTTAGCTGTATTCTGTCACATTTTCCCCTCAAGTTTTGTTTTTGCTTCAGGAGTTATTTCTGTCTCGTCCCTTCCTTTCCGTCACTCTGCCTAATTTTACTTTCACGATGACTTCAGGTCCCTTGGTCGCTGGGCGGACCAAAGACTTTGTGCAGAGGATTTTGGCTGCGAGCGCGGGCGGTCAGAACCAGCGCAAAGAGCCCCCGCAGGGAGGAGACGAGGCGGCCGGGTAAACCCACCTCGTCTTCCTCGGCGCCCTCCCCTCCCAGCACCACCTGACCCGACCCGACCAAGCTCCCCCACCACCACCACCACCCCCGCAGCCTCTCCACTCTCATGTCGCACACATCAAGAGCGAAGAGATGGGGAGGTGGAGAGGCTGGGAAAGAGGAAGAAGGAGGAGGAGGAGGAGGAGGAGGAAGAGGAGGAAGGAGTAGCCTAAACAAAATGGCAGTAAATTGCCACCTTGCTCCTGGTCCTCTCCCGTCGGCCCTCCAAACAGCAGCCGTCTTCACCGCTCTGTCTCTGCAGGCTGCACCACAACCACCACCAGGCCAGAGCTGCTGCTGCTGCTGCTGATGTCTCCGTGTTCTGTGTTCTGTCTGTGTGTGTGTGTGTGTGTGCGTGTGTGTGTGTGTGTGTGTGTGTGTGTGCGTGTAACATACTGTATGAGCGTGTATAGTGTTCCTCTTTCCCTCCGTGTGCTGTATTTGTATCCCATTGTGCCTATGAATAGACATTGCACTGTTTTGTAGATGGTCGTAGTTGTCGGCAGGGGACCGGTAGTGAGCTGAGGGCGAGGGGGCATTTGAGGATAGAGGAAGTTCTAAAATAAGGAAGTGGGAGGAGCCCAGGCCTGGAAAACAAAGAAGCGGGTGTGTGTTTTTTGTTTTTTTTTGTTTGGCTGGGCTCCTGCAGAAGCACTGCATACCATTTGGATTGCATTGGCATCTGAAATGTCAGTAAGTGTTGTGACACACAACAAACGATCGAGTCCTGATGTCAGACCAGCGCAGACAACAGCCTGCATGTTGTGGAAAAGTCCTCGGAGCTTTAATAGACCTTCTTTAACATCCCCTTCACCCCCCATCAAAATGTAAGCAAAGTTAAAAACGAAAGAGGAAACTGCACCTTAATCCAAACTGACCAAAGATTCCTGATGTTGCTGAACCACTCGGACACCAAAACCTCTCACTGCTCCAGATGCTGCCAGCCATGAACACATCACTGAGTTTTGCAGAGTGAGGCATAGAGTGACTGAAACGCTTTGATTGTTGTCATGTTCACCCGCATGCATTCTTCAAAGACGATATTAACAGAATAGACTCCATTGATTCATTTAAATGCACTTCCATCACAGACCCGCCAGGCCGTGGTTTGGCAGAAAGGAAAGGGCTGACGGGTCACTTTTGGGTCAGCCTTCCAGCTCTGCAGCCTGGTGCTCCTTTAGCTTATCTGCAGTGGCTTTACGTTTACCCACAAAAGGGAAGTGTCCTCAATGCCTTCCCCGAGCCCTCTCCTCAACCCCTGACCTGATTATGTAGCGCAACTTCCTGAATTGCAATGACAAATAGAGAAAAACACTTGTAGGTCTAGACAGCAAATAAGTCTAATTTGTTTTTTTGTTGTTTTTTTTTAATGGTTTTGTTGTTATTTGGCAATGCCACAGCCCACAAAGTGGGTGTCAGTCTTGAGCGTTTTGAAATCTGCCTTTCTTCTGTGGTCTTTGCTTGAAGCTGTAGACCAACCTGTCCACGCTCTCTAAATATTGTTGGACATAAAAAAAAAGTCAAGGACCCTTTGAATTGCACTGTGGTAAGAGCAACCAAGCACCTTCAAAGAGGGCTTCAGATCCTCCAAAAGAGAAAAAAAAAAAAAGACTCTTGGCACCTTTTTCTAAAGACAGATATTGATTGACAGACTCGAGGGCGCCCAGCGCTTTGTGACCGACTGGTGGTTTCGGTTTGTTGCAGTATGGTGCTACTATATGTTGATTTTTTTTTTTTTAAAAAGCAATGCAAACCTGTGTGGAGGCATCAGGCAGTAACTGCTGACTGGGTTTTGGCCTGCGAGCACGTCCTGTTGTAATAGGCAGTTTGTTTGCATAATGACGCCTTTCTAAAGTGCCTGGAGCTTAAAGCCACAGGGACCTGTGTTATTATGCCTGATCTTAAATCCAATTACAAGGTAACCCATGACTACTGCTCCAAGCTTGGCCTCACTTGACTTTAGCTGGAAGGGAGAAGAAAAAAAAAAACGCAGGCTTGTGTAGGATATTATCACTTATTCAGCCAAAAAACAGTGAGCCAAAATATTTTCCTTTCACATTGAACTTACACATGGAAACAGTAGCTAGTTTCTGTGAACATCATCTCTGGGAAACATACATGGAGGAGTGGCTGCTAGCTAGGCAATTCCCTTTTGTTTTTCAACCTTGACGGGCTCCCATCTGGGCTGCGTTCCAAAGCTGCTGTTCTATAACACACTGTTCTCCTCCTATGGAAAATCCATTTCCTGTTTCAGCCAGGAGAGGAGGAGGAGTTAACCTTGAACCTTCACGTCCTGGAGGTCTCGCTCGTGGTCATTTCGAAAGCTGTGGACTGCTGGGGTGTTCGGCGGCGCTCCACTTCAGTTTCTCTATCGTTCATTCTGGGAAATGTTGCTCATCATCACTATGAAGCTGTACTGTAAACACAAGATTCCTGTTGCTCAGCTGGAAAGGTTTTATCGTGGAGTTCTGCCGCTGGTGACCGGAGCTCTTAAGCTCTGATGCCAAACACAGATAGTCTGCGGCTTTGCAAAAAAAAAAAAAAATGAAGATGCAACAGCAGGAGGCTCTGATGTCACCTCTTAAGCATTACCACAGAAACCTGATCGGGTTTTCATGCGATCATTTTACAGAGAAGAAAGACGGATGATCTAGGACAAGCTCGCTGCAGCCGGAAGAGGAGAACTCTGAGCTTGTTAAAGGTGTGCGCTACACTTTCCCTGCTGCTGCCGCCGCTGTGCTGAGACGTGCTCACCTCCCTCCTCCCGCTTCCTCTGGAGGGTTAGGAAGCTGGCGATGCTGCCAGCCGAGTCACAGGATCTCGCACTGGCAACAGCTTGTGCAACAGAAAGAAAAAAACAGAAAGAGACGAAACAGCAGAAAACAACTGCACATATCGCCGAGGTTTAAAGTGTCGTACAACCCATCTGTCGTGTCAAACCAGGACGAGGAGGTCTTTGGGTTTAAGAGAGATTCCCCTTTGAATGCACAAGTTTGTCCAGATATTTTCCTTCCTCCGAAGCGGCGTTATGTAACACAACACACCATCTGCTGTGTACATTCATCTATATGCCAAAAACTGAACTGAAGAGAAAACTGTTGTGACACAGTGAGTTCCTGCCTCAGATCCAAACAGCAAACAAGACATGATGCCGGATTTAACGCAACTCGCGAGCTCGTACACGAGCCACGAGCGGTACTGTAGCATTCGCCCTCTATGGGGGAAAACATGTTTAAAAACATGGAATATCCCTTTAACAGTAAAGCTTTAATGGGGAGTGGCCGGTCTTGGCAAGGTCACTCGTCTCTGCTCACATTCCTGATTCAGTTTCCCAGAAAAGTCTGTGTTTATGTGCACCTGGAAGCCGGAGGCAGAAACTGAAATGACCCAAAGACGTCAGCTGTTGGGTCACTTCTCTGTAGCTGCTGTCATGACGGCGCGAGTCTGGCTCGGGTCAAACAAGGAGCAGCTGAGGCTTAAAGAATACAAAACTCATTCTCTCAGCTTATAAATCTGTCCCGCTCTGACCTAATATGGACAGTGACTCTGCATAAACTGGACGATTCTTATCTGAGCTACTTCCTCGTTGGGTGTCACCGTCTGCTGGAGACGGAGGGAAGTAAACAGCAGCCCGGCTCTGATGTGGTCGCCGGGTTTTTCTGAGAAAGAGAAAGTTTTTGTATCGAGCTCTGTCTTCGTGGTAAAAGCTGGATCCACCTGACCTGCACTCCCACTGTCACATATACACAGATTTAGCTCACAGTCTGCTTTAGGTGTTGTTGGTGAGGCTGCTCATGAACAGGGAGGACAGCCACTGTTTCCTGTGTGCAAATGTCCACCGGATGCAAGACCACAAACGGCTCACACTGGATCTGAAAGCATAAAATTCACCGATGAATGTGTGTCAGTTGGTTGGACGCTGACATAAACTTCATATTTAATGATGCATTACTGACTTTGAGGAGGCTTTCTCTTCTCTTTCTCTGCACATTGTTTCCAGATAGAAAATGACTGGATGGCATGCTGCTGCTGCTGCTGCTGCTGCTGTGTGCGGTAATTAAGACGCGTGTCGGCAGAACAAAATAAAATCACTGCAAATGTCTGTTCAATATGCTTTTAAAGCGCAGTAAAAAAAAAAAAAGAAAAGTGTAATTGATATTGGAAAAGAAGCTGCTGAAGGACGTAGTGCTCCGAGGCGCTCGGCTTTAAAACGCTTCCAGTGGATGTTTGAAGTGCAAAGACACCATGAAAAAATTCAGCAGCAATTCTGATCATCAGAGAGGAAAGTTAACCAGGGAACTCACCAAACAGTCCCACTTCTGCCGCCTTTCTCTCTCTATATCGTCGTAAATTGAATATCTGTGGAAGGTTCTCAGTTCGTTTTCTACCGTTTTCAGATGTGACTGAATAATCAGTGATGATTGTTGGCGTCCTGGCTGGAAAGATCTGACATCTGACAGAAAGACGTGTTTGGGTTAAGACACCCAAAGTCTTAAATCTGTGAGAAGTCGGTGTTGGAGCAGGCAGGAAGGCTTCCCTGGCTGTTCATGGGGCTGCGGTGGGGTTTTTTTGGACCAGGCGTCGAGGCGTTGTGGACCTGGCGGCGCTGAATAGACCCATCAGTAAGCCTACACTGGTGGGACGCTGCTGACCTGCGGGTGCCCGTCCCCACTCTGCTCCACTGCTCACATTGTTGGAGACACTTAGGCTTCTCCGGTTTCAAAGGCGACGGGCCTCCAGGCAGAGCAGGCCGGGGAAGCAGCACTTAGCCGGGGCCCCTGAGTAGTTTATCCGAAACCTTTTAATCCCCTCACCGCCCCCCCACCACCTCAGCCCGCTGTCGCACTCTGACAGCTGCAGAGGAGGACTTCAGTCGCTGCTGTCTGCCGCGGCGGCCTGCATCCCGATGCCCTCGTCTCCTCTGGCGCTGACCTGGAAACCTCCATCTGGGAAGCAGCCAGATGGGGGGAAGGTGTCGGTTTAGAACCTGCGGGTCCTCGTAGGGTTTTGCTCATCGTCGAGGCTCTCGCGCCGTATCATTTAAATCACGGAGCTTAACATCTGTTTTCTGAGAGAGATTAATCTGTTTTAAAAACCCACAAGGTTGCTTACGGACCCTGAAAACCTATTTCCTTAATCAGCTTCTTACCACGAGCATCCCGGTCCTACATGGGTCCACCGTGTTCTGCCAGAATTAGATAATTATGTTAAGAGAGATTATGCTATAAGGTGGGACAGAGGAGGCTGGATCGGTGCATCACCAGCGAGTAGCATTAATAGAGATAAACAAACCTAATTAGTTTTTGTTCAGGCGGTGAGATGCCGTAGTTTCAATGTTTAAAGGATTTACGTCGGCATCGTGGGGAATATTCTCTTTCACGTTCTTGCTGAGAGTTACATGAGAAGATTGGTATTGCTCTTCCCATTGAAGCTACAGCCAGTCAGCTTGGACTGGAAACCAAACTGTTGCCACCAGCACCTCTAAATCTCACCAACCGATGCACTATCTGTCGTTTGTGTAATCTCACAAGAGCAGAACGATGTCGTGTTGGAACCTACACACACTTAAACGCGCCCGATGGGTGAACGGCGGGTCTGAAACGCTCGGCTCCGTGTTGGCAGACGTGATGATGATGATGATGATGATGATGATGATGATGATAAACTGGCAGCTGAGACGCACCTCGCGGCTTCAACCAAAACCAAGTCAGTCGTTTCTGTCTTATGACGAGTCGAAACCAAAGGCCGGTCGTTGACATGAGCGGGAAAAGGACAAAAGATAAAAGTCTCATTAGATATGAAACGATGCTTTGGTAAAAGAGAAATCCTGTGGAGAGAGTAAAGAGTGAATAATCACATCCCTGCTGGTTCTTTAATCTGTCTGAAAACACGCTGAATGATGGGAGGAAAGGAAAACCAAGAGACGAGCAAACATTCCACAATGCCATGTCATATACTGTACAGCAATCCTTCCTCCTCCTCCTCCTCCTCCTCCCGTCCCCTCCCCCTCCTGTCTGTCTTTCAGTAACCCAGTAATCACATTACTACAGTAATACTTTGGACCTGTTAACACATTAACACATCTTTATGTACAACTCCTTCGTCAGTAAGTAACCTTTAAGAAAATAATACAAAAATGGAGAAAAAAAAACAAACAAAACGAAACAAAAAAAAAGAAAATACAAGAAGTGCCGTACAAATAGAAGCCTAATATTTTTTGTTTTTGTTTTGTGTGAGTGTACTGTACACCTGTATAATGTATATTTTAATATTTATATGCAGCTGTTGTATTAAAGTATATTTTTAAAATAAAACACGTGAGTTGTTTGTTTTTGTGGTGATATTTCAGTGGAAGCTGTTCGCTGCATATCATCAGAATCCTCCTTTATGTGACAGGAAGTGATGTTTTATCTGATCCTTGTGTTTGCAGCTTCCTGTTGTCGGCCGTTACACGTGTGATCAGTCTAAGGTGATGCTTTTTGTCTGATCTCGGGGGCAGAAGGAGTCAGGATTTGCATTTCCTCGCAGCAGCTGATAAATGCAGCACAGCACCACCAGCAGGTCTCACGGAGCCACGGCAGCCGTTATGAAAGTAGATTTTTTACATAACTTCCTCCTGAAGACGAAGCTTTTTTGGCGTGCACTAGCTACGATGGCTTTACGGGCAGAGAGCAGAGATTCCCACTGCAGGATCCAGCTCCTGTCAGCTCTGTGAGGACTCAGGTCGTGGGGCCTTTTAGCCCTCAGTGTTGCCTTCAGGCTGCTGAGCACGACCTCCGACTGTCAGCATCCCAGTTAAAAGTCTTTACCCTGAGCAAAACTCACTGAACCCAACTTAAAGGGTCAGTTCAGTCAACATGATGTGCAGCGGGGTGTTGGTTAAAATGTGAAACAAACAGTGACGTAGGAAGCGTTCAGATCCTTTAATTAGGTAAAAGCACTAACGACACACTGTTCAATACTGTTAAGCTGTAAAGTTTATGATTAAAAATGTTGCTTAAAATAATGTCGGTAGGTATAATCAGAAAAACGTTTATTATATCATTAGATTGTTTCTCCTACATTTTTTTTTTATTGTTAATTAAATTTTTCTTTCATTCATTGAGTTAAAACAATTAAATGTGACACAAACTACTGAATGAAAGGGAGCAGAAAGAAGAATCATCTCATGTTATCTGCCCCCTTTACCCAAAGAAATACAATTATTTTAAAAAATTAAATTACTAAAAGCACCAACAACAACAACACAATAAACATCAACATATTCACAACAAAATCAATCATAATAATGTTAAAGCAGGAGTTTGCTGCTGTGGCAGTTAATTATCAGTTAATTGTTTAGTTTTTAAAACTATAGAAATGGTCAGAGCTGCCATCAGAGTTACCCAAACATCGTCACAGTGCAGCCAGCGGTTCACACCTCGAAACAATTAAGAAGACATTCAAAACAAATGTATTAAAATCGTTCAAACAAAAAGCAGCACCTCACTGCGTTTGTGAAGGCAGAACCATGAAATGACACAAAACTATTAGACAAATGTTTATCAATTAATTTCCTGTCAGCTGAGTCAGAAGGTGGAGCAGTGGTTAGCCCCGTTGCCTCGCAGTGAGAAGGTCGCCGGTTCGTGTCCCGGTGAGGATCTTCCTGCGTGGAGTCTCCATGTTCTCCCCGTGCAGCGTGGGTTCTCTCCGGGTTCTCCGGCTTCCTCCCACAGTCCAGAAACATGCTGAGGTTAATTGGTGATTGTAAATTGTCCGTAGGTGTGAATGTGAGTGTGCTTGGTTGTCTGTCTCTAAGTGTAGCCCTGTGATAGACTGGTTACCTGTCCAGGTGAACCTGCCTTCACCCTGAGTCAGCTGAGTCAACAAAAACAAGACAAGGACTAAATATAGAAACCTAGATCGAAGAAATTACAAATAAAATATGTAAGAGAAAAATATAAAAGTACTGCATAAATAAAGAATAGTGTGAGGAGAGAAACAAGACAAGTAATAAATTAGGAAACAATATTGCTCCTGAAGTCGAGGAGTTTCACGTGTGATGGTGATGCACAGAGGAGAGCCTTCAGCGGTCCACTGACTGTTCATGAGGGATGTGACCTGAAGGAGGAAGCTGCTCCGGTGCCGGGATGTTCTGCAGCAGGTCAAAGAGGTGATGACCGGGGTGGAAGGGGTCCGTGAGGGTTTTTCCTGCCCTTTCCCTCACTCTGGAGGAGTACAGGTCCTGGAGGGAGGGCAGGGGGGCACCGATGATCCTCTCAGCAGTCCTCACTGTCCTTATGTCTGATTTGGTAGCAGAACCGAACCAGACAGTCAAAGGTGAGCACAGGACGGACTCAGTGACCGCTGATTGACTTATTTAATCATCGTTATAGCTGCATAAACTTGTACAAATGTTAGCGTGTCATATTTATAAGGTCTTCGTATGTTGTGTGCGTGCAACAAGCGAGTCAAGCTGTCAGATGAAGAAAGTTAAAAGTACAGTAGAAGAGTTCAACTGCAAAAACAGAAACTCCATCTTCACAAACCTTCAGAAAACCCACTTTAAAAAAAAAAAAAAAACTGTCCTGGACCAATGAGAGCACTTTGCTGATGAGCAGGTGAGCAGTGGTCCAGAATACCTGTCAACAGGTGCAGAAGTCTGACTGAGAGTTACAGAAACACCTGATGGCAGTGATTGGCTCAGAGGGTTGTTCAACTACATATTGGTTCCCATCAGGCTGGTTCTGTGTGAACTGGACACTGTCAGTGGAGCCGCCTGGTTAACAGCAGCAGCAAAAATGCCAAAGAGAAGTGACGTGAGCTCAGAGAAAAGGTCAGCTATCGATATTAACATAACATCCTGTTTACTCTCCACTGTCTGGCTCAATAAATGTCAGTGCGGTTGATTATTGCATTTTCAGATTATTGATATTGTTGCTTTTTAAAACTGATTTCTGATCAAATAAAGTCCTTTTAAAATGCACGACTCTGATGCTCTGCTTATCTGTGTTCACCGCTCACACCAGTGATAACCAATCAGCACTGAAGGTTAGTTATTTTAATTAAACACATGCAAAACAATAAGCAAAGACTTTTTTTTTAATGCTGAAGTTTGTTTTTGTCTAAATTTTAACACCAAGATTTAAATTTTTACTGATGTTTTAATGTTTTAAATGTCAGTTATCAGCCTCTTTGATTACTAATAATCAGTATCAGGAAAAAAATATCTTGGTCAACCCCGACTCCACAGTCAATGCTGTCGACTTTAAAGGACATGTGTTGCAAAGTCAAGAAGCAGCAGCAGGATGGGCTTCAGGGATCAATGAGAATAAGCAGAGACAAGTCGGTTCACGCAGAGCTGGAAACAGAATCAACATGTGAGGCTGCAGAGGGACAGTGACACAGTGGAAACCATTCATACGCTCACAGAACCAAACAGCTGGGATCGTATCTGCTGGAGAAAACGGCCACTTTGTGGAGACGTGTTATTTTTGGATGATTCAACCTACGTGGATGTGACGTGTGGAAAGTTGGTGAGGAAAAAGCCAGAATAGGACTTCCGACCTGACTGCTCTGAGTTCGGAGGTGTCAGAGTGGAGCTGCTTCTTTTGGATCCGTCGATAGACATCATGAACTCTGGGGTGTGCAGAGGACTCTTCAGGCGACAGAAGTCTTAAAGAATGCCTAAAGAGCACCTACAGGTTGTTGTTGACGCCGAATCCGATCCTGAAACACTCTGTGATCTTCTTCTTCTTCTTTGTCTTCACTTTGAACTCTTTATTTATGGTTTCCAACTTTCTTGTGGAACATTTTTGCTCCCAGTGTCAGCTTGTGCCTTTTGAGTTTGGAGTAAATGTCATTTGCGTTGACATATTGTTATTTAATACAATGAAGTTCATGCATTTCTAAGGATCCACATTCCGCTGCGGCTGCTCAGGAAAACCACACGTAAAAAGGCAGACTTTCCCCAAAGGCGTTCATTGTGTTGCTCTCACTTCTATATATTAAAAGTGACGTAAGTAAATGTATAAAAGATGAAAAAAAGGAGTTCAAACCCTGCTTTCTCTCTGACCTCCACACACACACAGGCGCTGATTGAAGCTGGCAGGATCGTCACATTGTTCAGTTACTCTTCACTGAAACATTCTGGGATTCTAAACCCGGCTGCATGAAATCCAAACCCTGTTGCCAAAAATCAGTGGAGGTGAAGGGAACGTTTGATCATATGCAAAATCTCCATCAGCAGATGTTGCCGTGTTCGCTTCTCATTCATGTTGGCTTAAAACACCTCAGAAACAACCACATGGTTCCTCTGGATGCCTGTGAGGAACCTTGGAGTTATTTTTGACCAGGATGTGGCCTCGAACTCACACCAGCCTGCAGGACGGCCTTCTTTCACCCACGTGATATTGTCAAAATCAGGAACATCCCGTCTCAGAGTGATGCTAAAAGACTAGTCTGTATATTTAGGGTCCGAGC